CGCTCACGGCTAACACCCGCGGAACGTCAGCAACGCATGGTCTCTGGTGAGTGCCTGTACTGCGGCCGTAAGGGCCACTTCATTGCCACCTGTCCATCTCGACCAAAAGGGGGCGCCCGCCCGTAGTTGAGGGAGTACTGGTGGGCGACCTGTCTAGTAAAAGCTCCCTTCCGCGCTTAATGTTACCGGCCAAGTTAACAGTTCACACAAAAACCCATTCTGTGATGGCGTTAATTGACTCTGGCGCGGAACAGAACTTTATCGATTCAGCCCTCGCGGAAAAATTAGGGGTTGGGTCCGACCCTCTACCTCATCGTTTACATGTCACCGCCTTATCTGGGCAGCGGCTGCCTGATATAACCCGTGTCTCAGAGCCCGTGTCACTCACACTCTCCGGCAACCACACCGAGGTTCTAAGCCTATTCGTGTTTAAAGCTCCTCAAACACCGCTTGTCTTAGGTCACCCCTGGTTGCGACAGCATAACCCTCATATCGACTGGAAATCTGAATGCGTGGTGGGCTGGGGAGTGGATTGTCACATGACTTGCCTCCGGGCTGCAACTCCGCCCTCCGCGTCTCCTCCAAATAACCTGTCTGAGCCTCCGGATCTCACCTCTGTTCCACCTGTGTATCACGACTTGGCTGGTTTTTCGTAAAGATCATGCACAATAGTTACCACCTCATCGGCCGTATGACTGCGCCATTGATCTCCTCCCAGGCGCCACACTCCCCACCTGTCGCCTTTATAGTCTCTCCCAACCTGAGAGAGCATCTATGGAGAAATACATCACGGACTCACTGGCAGCAGGCATAATCCGGCCGTCCTCTTCCCCTGTGGCAGCCGGCTTCTTCTTTGTAGAAAAGAAGGACAAGTCTCTCCGGCCTTGCATTGATTACCGCGGCCTTAATAACATTACGGTTAAGAACAAATACCCCCTACCGCTCCTTTCCTCGGCTTTTGAACTTCTGCACGAGACAACGATCTTCAGTAAATTAGACCTCCGCAATGCCTACCATCTAGTTCGGATCAGAGAAGGCGACGAATGGAAAACAGCTTTTAACACCCATCTGGGGCATTTTGAGTACCTGGTGATGCCCTTTGGGCTGACCAACGCCCCAGCAGTTTTCCAGGCCCTCGTGAATGACGTCCTCCGGGACTTTATCAATCGGTGCGCATTTGTCTACTTGGATGATATCCTTATCTTCTCTAAAACAGTGGCGGAGCACGAGACACACGTCAGACAGATTCTGCAGCGTTTGCTGGAAAACAGACTGTTTGTGAAAGGCGAAAAGTGTGACTTTCACGTGGACTCCGTGGCCTTTCTCGGATACATAATAGAGCGGGGTGATCTGAAACCCGACCCGGCGAAGGTCCAAACAGTGCTTACCTGGCCCGAACCCCCAAACCGTCGACAGCTCCAGCGCTTTTTAGGCTTTGCCAACTTCTACCGCCGCTTCATCCGAGATTTCAGTAAACTCGCTCTGCCTTTAACCAGACTCACTTCTCCTAAAGTGTCTTTTCAGTGGGACCAATCCATGCAGGAGGCCTTTCTACGTCTCAAAGAACGGTTCGCTACAGCACCTATCCTCTGCCAACCCGACCTCCAGCAACAGTTCGTCATTGAAGTGGACGCATCGGATTCCGGGGTCGGGGCGGTGTTGTCCCAACGGAGGGAGGGTAAGCTCCACCCATGTGCCTTTTTCTCTCGCCGTCTCTCCCCAGCAGAGCGCAATTATGATGTTGGGGACCGGGAACTTCTGGCTATCAAGTTAGCACTGGAGGAATGGAGACATTGGCTAGAGGGAGCCACTCAACCATTCATCGTGTGGACAGACCACAGAAACCTTGAGTATCTCCGAGCCGCAAAGCGACTCAATCCCCGGCAAGCGAGGTGGGCTCTCTTTTTCACGAGATTCACCTTTTCAATTACGTACAGGCCCGGGAGCCGCAATGTGAAGCCAGACGCCCTCTCCCGACTGTATGACTCCTCTGAAGCGGAACCCGAGCCAGGTCCGATTCTTCCTGCCTCCTGCTCCATCGGCACGGTGACCTGGGAAATCGAATCTCAGATTAAAGAAGCTCAGAAAACAGAACCAGATCCCGGGACCGGGCCCCCAGGTCAGTTGTTTGTGCCCTCCTCTGTTCGTTCTCAGGTACTGCAATGGGCACACGCCGCCCGGTTCACCTGTCACCCGGGAGTACACCGCACCATACGTTTCCTCCAGCGTTACTTCTGGTGGCCCACTTTGGCTCGGGATGCACGGGAATACGTTGCCGCCTGCACGACCTGCGCCCGTAACAAGTCGTCTAACCAACCTCCCTCCGGTTTGCTACAACCGCTGCCCACTCCGGGACGGCCTTGGTCCCACATAGTCTTGGATTTCGTCACCGGATTACCGGCTTCAAAAGGTAACACAGTCATTCTAACCGTTGTGGACAGGTTTTCTAAAGCTGTCCATTTCGTTGCCTTGCCCAAGCTGCCTACGGCCCTGGAAACCGCTCACCTCCTCACCACGCATGTATTCCGCCTCCATGGAATTCCAGAGGACATTGTGTCAGACCGTGGCCCCCAGTTCACTTCTCGGCGCTAAGGTTAGTCTGTCCTCTGGCTTCCACCCTCAGACCAACGGGCAGGCTGAGCGGGCGAACCAAGAACTGGAGGCTGCTCTGCGGTGTGTGGTGTCCTCAAATCAAACGACCTGGAGTGACCAGCTGCCATGGATTGAGTACGCCCACAATTGCCTGACTTCCTCAGCCACTGGAGTTTCACCTTTTGAGGCGTCATTGGGATTTCAGCCTCCGCTCTTTCCGGCCGTTGAGGGTGACCTCTCTGTGCCATCCGTCCAACACCACCTGCGTAGATGTCGCCGGGTGTGGAGAGCCCGGATCGTTGATGGGCTGCCGGCGTATGGGGTCTCCCGCATTATGGACTCTCGGCGCCGGGGGCGGGGGGTCCAGTATTTGGTCGATTGGGAGGGCTACGGGCCGGAGGAGCGCTCTTGGGTGCCTCGCTCAGCTGTTTTGTGTCGGCGCCTGCTCCGTGACTTCCATCGCCGGCACCCTGGTAAGCCCGGTGGGTCGCCGGGAGGCTCCCGTTGAGGGGGGGGTACTGTCAGGGTCCCTGTGCCTACCCGGTCGGCTCAGTACGGCTACATATGTTTTGTATTCCTTTTTAATTTTTTTTCCTGCTCTCTCCTTTCCCCTCTTTCCCTCCTCCCTCTGCCTGGGCGGAGCTCACCTGCGGGCTCCTGCCCTTGGCCCACGCACCTGTGGCTCATCACGAGTGATCCAGCTCCTTCATAAGATGGCAGCCCTGTGTTTTTCGTCGCTGGACCGTTGCCGACCCTCGTCAGTGTAACCCCAGCTCAATGACTTCTGAAGTGTTTCATAGCGATTTACCTAACTACCCATTCGTGTCTCTGTGTACAGATTCCCTGGACCTACCCCTGTGTTACCCGAGTGAGTGGAGTGTGAAGAGGAGTGGACGGAGAGTGTGCGTGTCTTTCCCGTTCGTGTGTGGACCCCCGGAGCCCGGCTTTCCCCTCACTTTTGTAAATAATCACCTGGTGTATCATAATAAAGACTCTTGTGCTTTCAAGACCTAGAGCCTGCGCGTGAGTCCGTTCAGTCCCGTTGTGACACCATCAGATTATGCCTGTGTGTTTCTGTTCTCAGCATTCAGTGTTCACTTCATGTTTTGTCTTCATGCCAGCAATAAAGCTGAGGTTTTGAGTTGTATTCAGTGTCCGAGTCTCGCATTTGGATCCTCCTCTCTATCCGCCTGCACACAGAGCCCTTACACTTTGACAATTTGTACGAGGGTGATTGCAGTCAGACTGAGCTGGACCGTGGCTCCTTGGAGACCAGTTGCCTCCCAATAGGTATATTTATATGAAAAAATTAATTGCAATCACAGGGCAAACGCAGTTTTTTTTCTGAGTTGCAAGGAGGTCACTGTCTTATTTTTACTGAAGTGTAACTGAACCTTAACAAATTCCATTTTGAAAAACCCGAAGACTTGTACTATATAGAACAAGTGTATGCCCGCTTAATTTCTAGACCAACACATTTTGTATCCAATGATCAATTTACAGCAAGAAAGCCCACTATCCAAAGTTCAAAAACCCTTCCAAGTCATTGCCTCTAAGCAATATTCAAGTAGAGATATTGAAATTTTAGCTCAACACCACTGATTGCTAAGCACATACACCAAATATCTGAATCTGCAGATCCTCTTGTACCAAGCCAGGTCACTTTTGTATCAACACATCACCAAGTGAACCAACTTGTTTTGTTTTATTTTAGACCAACCAGTGGTGGCTGTGGTGAATAATACAAGCTGCTATGAACTGGTCAAGCAATAAAGTTGTTTATCTGCAAACCACAAATAAACCATAGAGTCTCCAATTTCCTTAATTGTCCACCAACAAACCTGTTCTTGTCGATCGAGCCATCGATCTACCATCGGATGGTTGGCACTAAGGGAAGATCGAGTCATCTCTCTTTGGAACTGAGTGGACCAGCCACTCGCATCACGAGGAAGACTACGGTAGGCATGGGCTCCTCTGCCCTGCAAAGAAAGAGGAAAAGGCAGAGACATTAAAAATTGTACACCACTGTGGTCCTGCTATCAGAAGAAGTCTTTAATGCACTCGTATAAATACTCTTTCTTAAAAAAAAAGAAGAAGAAAGAAATTTGGTACAGAATTATCTAAAATCCAGGACGAACCTGATTTTTGAAGACTGAACCATCTTTGTGGTTCAGTTAACTCTCACTCAACCCTTGCTCCTGATATTTCATTACAGCCACACCTGAGCTGCTTGAGGACCTTTTTAATAACAAGACAGCTCCAACTAGGATTTATCATTACAAAAAACCCCAAAACAACTTCACAAAGCTCCTGCCAAGGTAATGTCATACATCAGCATACTTGAGCATAAAATATTACACTGGCCACAAGCAAAAAAACACACCCAGGCACAAAAGATAATATTCCACACTTGCTAGCCTTGGCTTAGGAATCTCAGCAGCTGAAGGTCAAGGGTGAAGTTTTTTTTGAATAGAAGAGAAAGCAAATCAATAATTAAAATCAAAGCCAAGTGATTCACCAAGACAAACAAGTAGAAAAGCAACCATATATGGTCTGATTAGTCACAAAAACAGCATATAACGAGTAAGCGCGAAAAAAAACATTTTGGGGATTTTTAATGAGACATCACATTTGAAAGAGAACACATGGTTGCTTAACAAATCACAAAATAGCAAATATATCAAAACAACGCAAAAACAAAGGAGCTTAAAAGAATGGGAGGGAGAGCCAGCAGTGTTTGGCTACAGTTGAATGTGACATGCAAGGGGCCTGATGAAGGCTTAACAGAATTATAAAACTGAGTTGCACAACTGGCCTGTGTATAGAGACAGCCCTGATAGCCATCGCAGCCTCAGACACGGCACAACAAAGGACCCCCCTCCACAGAGTTTTACGACACATCAGATCATAAAATGTAGAGAAAGCCAGATACCAGAGAGGCTCAAACTGACTGTCTAATCCCTATGGGTGACTTTGCTAAGTGCAGATAACCCTAAATACCAAGTATTGTAAAGTCATTGGCAGATGTGATGAGTTTACAGTGCTAGCCGATGACTTAGTACTCTCACTGACTTTTATTGTTGAGATTTAGCAGAAAAACTGAGTCTGACTGAGCCGTTTTCAGACTAGTTGGGGAATTGAACACGTGGCTGGCTTTAGTCTGTAAAAGGAAACGATCCTAGACAGTGAAGAGACTTTGTTATGAGTAAGTTGCTTTTGGCAATGCTGAAGGATGTTCCTTTTCAAAAATATGGTGCCAAGAACAAATACTACACATGCTGACTAACACATTCTTACAACATATGCTGTTAATTTCATAAAAACAGACTTGAAATGAATATATGGCAGTTGGTGCAAGAAATAGATTAAGGGTTACAAGGAGTAAGACTCCCTTTGTAGTTGAAAAAAGTCTGGTTCTGTCAACTGAATAAAGATGACAGCATCCTGCTGTTAGCTCGTCACTTTTCACACCATGCCATTTCAAGCGTCTGTGGCAGGATGGTGTCTTAAAATGCACTACATTCAGATGACATCTGAACTGCTGCAGATGGGAGTCAAGAACTAAATGGGACACAATATTACAAGTTGGGCAGCTAAACATTATTAAGGGAATTATTGATTTATAGTGGCTTGGTCATAATAACTTTGAACTCGCCATGTAAAATGTTGCTTTGCCAGGAAGGTTTTTTACAGGAATCGTCTTAACCTTTTATTGGACAAGGAGCCATATTTGGTGACTTCAATGGACAAAACAATTGTCCTCCCCACGACTAACTATGAGGAATTTCTCCCAGCCAATCACAAAAGATCAGGTTATGTGACAGATAGTGATATTATTGTATCTGACCAGTCAGTCACAGCCTGTTGCATTTCAAGCTTTTAATTTTTTTACCCCTACATTACACTCATACTTGTGGTCATAACATCAAAACTGAGTGTGTAGTTTGGTTTGTTTCATGACCTTATTGCAGTTTTCTAGTATATCAGTTAATGGTATATAACTGGTAATTATTTTTACAGTACATCTTATTACTTATTACTAAAATTTATTCAGTAATTATTTGATATGTGTGTTATATTTACGAAAATTGCCAGTGTGAATAAAAAAAACAATGTTCATAAAAAACATGGCTTTATAAACATATTTGTGTTTATCCTACAGGTCTTATATACAGGTTTGTTTGTTTTTTTGGTAAATACGTATACCATAAACAGGAAAGGAATCTTGATTTGCACTGTAAAATATCTTTTTTTTTAAAAATCACACATGTGAAAAAGTCCTGAAATATCCCCCAATAACACGCCAGGGTTGAAATTTTTAATGTCTACTGTAAGTGTTTTAATGAGAGCCCTATAAAGGGTTAAACCATTGTTTTATGTATGACTAAAGTAAACTAATAGAAACTTCTAGTTTAAACTACCGTATCCGTCTGTTTAGTGTGTGGCGGTGTACATAATCTGGAATCCTCTTATTACATCAACATAATAATATTTATCCACGATCCACAACTTACAAACATCGTTGTGGATGTGGAATCCTCTACGCATGGTAGGACGTAACAGAAGGGCTGAAGACATGCAATCCATATACAGTCAATGAAATTCAAAGTCAAATTTCAACACTCCTGATCCTCTGCTTTCCCATTTTTATATTCAGTACAAGCACACAAACATACATAGTTGCTCAGTTCAGTAGTTCAGAACAGAATTCCCACTAACAAAATGAGAGCTCTGATTTCAGCCCACACTCTTGCTTTTACATTCTGTGGGCCGTGACAACTAAAGTGTCTCTATCAGCCCCTTCTCCCAGACACGCTAATCACACGCAGAGCTGATGTTTCACATTTCGAACATTCAATAATTTCCCCATTTGTAACATCCCCGTTTGATGGGAACATACCTCTCCCTCAGTGAGAAGTAAAGGGCTGTCAGCACGGCAGCCATTGTGAGAAGTTAATTGGCTTTCTTTTACTTTCAGAAGCAGCAGGGAGGATGCACCGGAGTACCTGAGGTGTGTTTTATTTCATTTTATTTTTTTCTGACTAATAATCAGAGGCTTAAAAGCACCAAGAGGGTGAATTTGTAATAAAGGGAATGTGTTTAAGAATCTCCGCTAATCCTTTTGGATGACAAGAAGGGGTGTTATCAGATGGAACTAGTTTCAGATAAACACTATCTATGCTACTGCTGGATATCTGCAAGCAGGGCAGCACAACTTTCATATCTAACACTTATTTCTTTGATTTGGGACGCAGAGGAGACAAGGAATGAAAATGAGGGAAGAAAGGAGTAAGTTGAAAACAGAGACTGCAGGTTGGGAAGATTTCAGAGCACATATCTCAGGCATTATAATTGATGCAGCACCCGTACATCAGCAGCCCTATCTTCTGGGCAAGGTGCTGCTGGAATAAGTATGGAATAGTTCACAGTGGTTTAAAAAATAGACTTTATTGATCTATTGCATTTTGACACCATTTAGATTCCAATAAATGATCTTAACAACTTAATGGTGCATCATACCAGGCATCATTGAGGCATTCGTGCACAGTTTATCGGCTACATTACCACAGGAGGTGTAGTTACCTTTTGTTCGAGGCTCCCTGTTTCATTGCTGGGGTTTCGTTTATGGTTGGGCTTCTGGAAACCAGGGGTTGTGGACCAGCGAGTTGGATTTTTTCTGGACGGTTCTTCTGCAGCAACCGGGGCCTCGCCTGGAGGAAAGCCAGCCAGTGCGGGATCACTACTGCGACGGACATTGAGAGACATGTCTGTGGAGGGGATTACAAAAGACAAAGAAAAGGAATTATAGCAAAATCAAACCACTTGCCGCTTTATCGATTTATTAAGCGGCTCGCTTTTCACCTTGGTCGTCAAAAAGTTGCCCATTTTTGGGAGGCGCTGCTACATCCCCTGCTATACCTCCTTAACAGCACTCCATGAAATGTCAGCTGAGACATGGGAAGTGGTGATTACAAGTACTCGTGTTTTTATGAAAGGTCTGTTAAGCCCAAAACAACACTGCGCAACTCCACGATGGAAAGTTTAGCTTGGCTTGATTCCATCTGTGCTGAAATACATTACTGTAGATATATTATACACACAGTTTTGGCTGGGGAAATTACCCAGACAGCGATAAAAATATATATATATATAAAAGTACATGTGAGAAAAGAAATTAGATGTGATTATCTAACCCCTTGCTTGGTCGAACCACTCTAAAAATAACAAGTACAATAATAATTGCAGGAAACTTGCTCATATATCATGATCTGACTATTGCGATAAAGGTCATTCTTACACACTGTGCTACCCAACTCAAGTTGATTCTAGGAAGTTTCCAGGGGACTGAAATTGAGTCTCAGAGCCAACATTTATTCTTTCCATCAAACGTCTAACAGAAAACTACACAGGAAACACTGGCCCATGTTTCAGCTGCCACATTAACCGATCTGTCATGAAAACTTGGTATAAAGTTCCCACATTTGATTAGAGCTGCCAAAACAAGTAGAGGGGATGAAGTTGCTCCATATTTCACACTCCGGTTAAAACATTCAGTGAGAAATCCCACCGATGTCTGCTACAAAGTCAAGACGGTGAGTATATCCGTTAGCTGTGGTGTAAATCATCTGGATTTTCCCAAAAGGCCATATGGATTTGTTTATGACGTCCTAGCAGCCTGTGTGTTACACCCATAATTATGCAAATAGTTGGGTAACCACCTGTCATCCATAGACAGATCATTGCACTGAGCATATGCCAGTGTTAAGCTTCCATCTGATACAACCGAGACACGTCTTAGTGGTGGGAGCGACGCATTCTAATCATGGATTACGCTGTGCGCCAACTCGTCTGTATTTAACACCGTGACAAGACTAAGGAGATTCAAGAACAACTGTAAGTGTTTCTTGTGACCACCTGTGTCGAGGCAGAAATAGTGACTGAATCCTGCAAATAACAGTGAAATAAGCATGTGTTTCTGCACCTAGTACACTAACTAAACACCTCTTATCAAGGCATCCCAGTTCATTTTCATTCACTCACATCCTTTGTACTATCTCACTTACTTGAACTTGTGCTAATATCCCCTCTACTTATTGTTTACTTGGCGCCAACTGCTTTCATTTAATCCTCCCCTACCTGATAAATTCATGGTCTCAATATTATAATCAGGGCTCAGAGGCCCCGAACTGTTGTTCTCTCTCTAAGTCTTTTCTAGAGATGATGTGGTCTAAGAAGTGGAGCTTAGTCGAGTGTTATTCTTGTCGTGAGTGCTGCCATTAGGTGCTAAAAAGACAAGCTTGTCCTTTTTAGTGTTCTGGGGATTACGTCAATATTAGATCTCTTAGCACCTCATAATTTATGACCATTTCATAAAGTCAAATTTGTCATCGCTGTTAGTAACCACTGACCTTGAAGACAAAAGCACACATTACATCTTTAGCTGTCGCCCAATAAGGTCCTCGATCCAAAGATCGGTCTTGTTTTTCCCACACTTGGTGAAATGAATAATTATGACATAGACACAGATTCCCAATCCATAGTCAGGACTTACTGACATTACAGCAGTGTATTGTCAATTCAGGGTAATGTAAACGTAAAGTGCTGCAAAAAAATTACATTTTTGTGTTACAAAAAACTCTTATTGTTGCCAAGTTTTCGGTGAGATTTCATTACAAAAGTTCTCTCCCTCCTCCTTTGTCTCTGAGTGCGGTAACTCTGGTAGAAAGGCTTCGTATGCAAATAAATTTATGATGACATCTGGAAACTTCCAGGAACTTTCTCAGCAGCAAGAAAGTAGAGATGATGACAGGGTTTTCAAACTGCTTTTTTTTTTTTGGGTGAGTAACTCAACTTTATAAAGCGCCATTTCTCATGAGGAAATCATCGGTGCAACTCGAGTTCTTCTGCAGAAACAGGTAACTTATAAAACCTACTTTCTCACTCACTGCTAAACCATAACAAAAACCTCCACCCCAAATAAGAGGGAAAAAATCCCTCACCGGCAGCTTGTACTATTATTCCTTTGTTTCAAATGTGTTTCATTTTTTTTTGCCCACTGCCCGAGGCTACGTCAGAGCAGCCTGGAAATCACATCTAGCAGCCAGCCAGTCATTGTGTGTTCGCTTTTAAATTAGGTTGAAGACCTACTAATGGCATTTAATAAACTTTTGCCCCTTTCAGTAATGGCTGGTTCATGTCCAGTTCAAGCTCTAATGATATTCACTTCAGACAGCAGGGGTAATTAACATCCAGTAGTATTCCACACGATGACTTTGAGATAGCACGCAAGCTGCACACAACAAAACTATAAAAAAGAAAGAAAGACAGAGAAAGGGCACAGGAATGGGTTAGAAAGCATATTAAAATTCTCAAAGTATTCATATTAAATATTTGTATTTCTTTTAAAGGGAACCTTTTCTATGTTTTCATAGATTTGTGTGTAGCTGGGGCTTGCACAAGACACTTGGTATGGATTAAAAGCCTTGTTATATTTCCCATAATACCTCAAGGCTCAGTTGATAGATGGATGTTTGCAGGCCCTTAGAAACCATGACAACTTCAACATTCAAGCATTAAGGGTATAAAAATCACAACACATGGCTCTCTTTTGGATCGATTCTTACACACTAAGTAATAATACTCTGGCTCTTTTACAGTTTCAGTCGATTGTCAAAACTTTAGTTTCAGTTTAGCGACAGCTTGCTAAAGTGTTGATCCACCGTGGGTCGAAATCCTTACGGATCAGCTTCTAACAAATAAAGGAGTTTGTGCTCGTTTGTGTTACGAAGGTCACAATATGAAGATTCTCTCCAGTCCTCTCCCTGACCAATTTCCCTCTACTTAATTTGTGATGGGATTATCCCAGCAGTCCGAAGGGTTTGGTTATCCCACGTTTAATAACTAGCACTGCCACTTCAGACCGAGCCAGCAATCGATCCACACTGAAGCGGGAACAAAACCACTCGGGAGGGGGGATGGTGAGCCTGGCTAATAAAACGAGGCCCTAATCCAGCCCCTGCAGTGAGGGATTATGGTCAGGGCACAGGGTCATAGTGATGTACACACACCACAGTTTACCATAGAGACGTAGGGCTCTCCAGGGGCAATTATCTCATGCCGTATCATCCTTTATTTACCTTTCACCTTGTTTGGAGGAGAAATATATTCATTTATATAAATTATGTGGATAGAAATACTAACTCTAATGGAAAACAGCAAAATAGTCTTGAGGTTAGTAGTACATTTGAGAATGTTCATTGTAGAAATAATAAATAATATAACTGTATAATGGCCACAGGTTAGTATAAAGCAGGGATTTCTAACTTTCTTTACATCGTTTTATATCCTAATATTAGAAAAGAAGTGTAATTCATAGACTGGTTCTTATATAGTGGTTTTCTACTTCACCTGAGCACTCAAAGTGCTTAATACAACTTCCCTCATTCACCCATTTACACCCATTCTCACTTTTCTATGCTTTTCTGAGATAAGTGCTGTCTATCTAACATTCATGCTCATTCATACTCCGAGGGAGGCATCTGAGAGCAACTTGGGGTTAATCTCTTGCCCAAAGATGTTTGGCACACAGACTGGAGGAGCCAGTCTGTAGATCAGGAGTGTTTTAACAGTACATGTCAGTTTTGTTACAGGATGAAGAAATGCTGCTGTAGTTCCCCAAAAGTTGATTCTGTTCATCTCGACGTAGCGTTTTCAGCGGGAGAAACGTTTCGTCACTCATCCAAGTGACTTCTTCAGTCTCAGCTGACTGCAGGTTTCCATAGTGACTGACACTAGCACCACTGAAGGAACAATGTGCTGGGAGTTCACTGATCATTAATATGCAAATTGTCATGACCATTGACCAACAACCACTGATCAAAGCCCACTGATTGAGCATGCATCAAGCTGCTGTAGTTCATGAAAGAAATCTGTCAGCACGAGCCTTTGAGCTAAAACTGTAAGAAATAAACAGCAATTTCTTCTGCAGATAATGAAAACAAATATTTATGTCATTTATTGATATTACATCAGAGTGGTATGAATAGCTATGATCTTTGTCAGTAGGACAAGTTGTAAATACATTTAAAAGTTCAAAATCCACGCCCTCCTCCTCCTCATTTTTCAAAGCCATCCAGTGAGCCGTGTTCGACACACCCGGTGTGTATCTGTATGTATCTGTTTTGTCATTGTGCTTTTAGTTTCTTCTGTTATCTTTGACCCCACGTCTCTGTCATCAAGTTTAGTGTTCGTTTTCATGTCTCTTTTTTTTAACGCCCTATTTTACTTTGTCAGTAAAGCTCTTTCTTTGTCTTGTTTTGTTTTTACTTCCTGGTTGTCATTCATTTCCTTCCTTTCATGACTACCTGCTTTATCAACATTGGCAATATTAGCTTTACCTGTTTCCCTCCCACCTGTGCCCAGTCACCCATCAACCCCTCTGTGTGTGGGTGTGTGCGTTGTCCTGTCTTCCCCTTTGTCCTTGAGTTTTGACTTCCAAACCATAGAATGACAGTTTCTATGTTTTTGTAAGAGATGACCTCTTTAAAACGTCCCTAAACTCATCAGCTCAGTTCACTACATCGCTACACACTTTTCTACTTAGTCACCAGTCATGCTGGACATAAACAACATAAACCAGTAGCAGTACTTTTTCTTCTGTAATAACACAGCAAAAAATGTACTTCCAGCTTAGTTGCAAAAGAAATGGGGGTCAGCTCTAATGTATTAGCTGTGGAAGTTTGCAATCACCAAAATGGCATGAAGTAAA